TCTACGCTAAGGGGGTAACTCTATGGGCCGGTGTATAGATGTCCACTCTACGCTAAGGGGGTAACTCTATGGGCCGGTGTATAGATGTCCACTATACGCTAAGGGGGTAACTCTATGGGCCGGTGTATAGATGTACACTATACGCTAAGGGGGTAACTCTATGGGCCGGTGTATAGATGTCCACTATACGCTAAGGGGGTAACTCTATGGGCCGGTGTATAGATGTACACTCTACGCTAAGGGGGTAACTCTATGGGCCGGTGTATAGATGTCCACTCTACGCTAAGGGGGTAACTCTATGGGCCGGTGTATAGATGTACACTCTACGCTAAGGGGGTAACTCTATGGGCCGATGAGACCATTCTGGCAGAGAAAAGTTCTCCACATTTGGAACATTTAAAGTCTCAACTTCCACTTGTGGATGTGCGCAGATTGCGGGCTTCTCTCTTAGCGTTAAGGTTTGTTTTGTCCGTGAAGAAAATGATCAGCTGTTTGCTGCCCTCTGTGACTGCTGCTCTCCGGCTGGGTCTGTCAGGAGCTGGACTGTCGTGTGTCCTAGTTTTCTGTTGAAGTCCTTCAGAAACATCTTCAGGGTGTCTTTTTAGCGATGTTTTTTGGGGTGCACCAACTTGACGTTTGCCAGAGGACAGTTCAAAACAGAGCCCTGCCTTTGGGAACGTGACATCAGCCATTCCTCAGCAACCCAGCAAAGTGGAGTCCTTTTGAGCTGAGAAAACAGGGCTCAGAAAACTACTAGATCTAGATCTAGATCTGCTTATACAGCAAAGTCAAGTAACAAATGAAACAAACAACCAAAAACTGCTCAACAGAAAACCAAAATCTGGGCGTACCTTTTAGACTTTGACGTGGCCTTCGTATTTGTTGCCAGCCTCGACACGAAATTGTGGCAATTTTTTTGTTCTGAACCCAAGCGTCCAACTTCCGTTCTGTCGACTGTGATATTCCCCGTGCACTCAGGACTTGGTGTGCAAATCTAGCAAAGATGTAAAATATATTTGTTTTTTTCCTTTGTCTCTTAGCGAGATCTACCGTGGACGAGTGGGCAGAGAATCCTGTGTGTATTACAGTGGGGGGAGGGGGGGCAGTTTGGGAATGTCTTCTTTGGTTGGAATGGAAACTCGGTAGTTGTTAATGGGTAGTACAGCTCGCTCAAACGCTCACTGCGCATGTCCAAACGGCGTGTAATCACAGGCGACACGAAGTGACCAACACGGGGGGGAGGGGGGTATCCTGCCTTGACCTTTGCTGAAAACACGGACAGAGAGGAGGGGAACCAGGGGCTGTGGTCGTGGGAATTGGTGTCGGTAATTGTTGCTTATACACACACACACATACATATACATGCACACACACACACACACACACACACACACACACACACACACACATACATACACACACACACACACA